GCATTTTCCTCTGAGTATGTCTGCCGTCCTTTGGGCTTTTCCTCTCCCACTCATGCTAAACTCTGTGCTCAGACATTCAATATGTTCACGTCTTTGCCTTCTTATCCTGCCACTGTATCCACTTTTTTTTTTTTTTTTTTTGAGACAGAGTCTTGCTGTCTCGTCCAGGCTGGAGTGCAGTGGCACAGTCTCAGCTCACTGCAACCACCTCCATCACCGGTTCAAGTCATTATTGGGCCTCAGCCTACCGAGTAGTTGCATTACAGGTGCACGCCACCACCGCCAGCTATTATTTGTTTTTAGTACAGACAAATTTTTGCCGTGTTGGCCAGGCTGGTCTCAAACTCCTGGCCTCAAGCCATTCACCCTCCTCAGCATCCCAAACTGCTGGAATTACAGGTATGACCCACCGTGCCTGGCCCTTAAACTGCCAAGTTTGAGCACCACAGTGCTATTTATCTTTCAAGACTGTACATCTGATCATATATGTGTTTTTGTTTTGTTTTGTTTTGTTTTTAAACAGTGTCTTTCTCTGTCATTCAGGCTGGAGTGTAGTGGCATGATCATGGCTGACTGCAGTCTCAACCTCCAGGCCCAAGCAATCCTCCCACCTCAGCCTTCCAAGTAGCTGGGACTACAGGCATGTGTCACCACACTTGGCTAATTTTTTTTATTTTTTGTAGCAATAGGGTCTCACAATGTTGCCTAGGCTGGTGGTCTTGAACTCCTAAGCTCAAGCAGTCCTCCTGCCTAGGCCTCCCAAAGTGCTGGGATTACAGGTATGAGCCAGCACAATGGGCCCAGATAAGTATTTTTTTTTTTTTTTTTTTTGAGAGGGAGTCTCACTCTGTCACCCAGGCTGAATTACAGTGGCGTGACCTCAGCTCACTGCTACCTCTGCCTCCCAGTCTCAAGCGATTTTCCTGCCTCAACCTCCCGAGTATCTGGGACTACAGGCTTGCACCACCACACCAGGCTAATTTTTGTATTTTTAGTAGAGACGGAGTTTCGCCATGTTGGACAGGCTGCTCTGGAACTGCTGACCTCAAGTGATCCGCTCACCTCAGCCTCCCAAAGTGCTGGGATTACAGGCATGAGCCAACACACCCGGCCCGTATATGTATTCTTAAAATCCCTTTGATAGTTTCCAAGTGTGCTTCCATGGGGTTTGCAGCTAGCTCTCTGCCCCATCATTTGCTAGGAGCCTCTACCCAGAAATTTTCAGTTCTTCAGTGTAGTATGTTCTTTGTCATTAACGCACATTCATCTGTACTATTTGCTAATATCACCTCTGTCCTGCCTAGAACACTGCCCCCTGCTGGCCTGATGGGCTAACTGAGTTTCAGATAACGCTTCGCAGGGAAACCTATTCTGCCCCCACCCCTCCTCTGTTCCCCAGTCCTTATGCTGTTTCGTAACTGACGGTTTACCAGACAGTAAACTCCATCAGGACATGGACCTGACC